TTTTTCACTCCGGGTACCCGTTCGTAAAAAGAACCCGTTTTAACGCATTTTGAACGGGTATTTTTCACATTTCGTCACTTTTGACACATTTTCGGTCCCCAATTGTCGACGAGGAGAATCGAATGCACTTTGAATGATGCAAATCGGCCGAGCCGTTTTCGAGAAACATTTGTATCGTTAATGAGTCACGCGTGGAGGTTTATATTTGCTGGACTCAGCGTTAGCACAAAACAAAGCAGTGCTTTTCCAGGAACTTTCTGTCAACTCTATGGAAAAAAATTGAATTGCAAATCAACTTCAAATCAGATATCCACTCTTCAGCTATTCGAAGGCAATATATTATGGCAAAAGGACTTATAGAAAACATTTAAAACAAATATTTAATCAAAATGCATTTTCCAATAAACCATTCCAGCTTTACCGAAATACTTTATTTAGCATCATTTTACACATATTTCCGCATCAAATCGGCAAACGACATTGCTTTCCAATCTTTCTCGACAATTGTCCACCTGAATATTGTGGCACAAAGAACATAGAAATGATTTGTGCCCCTCCTCCGAATATACAACAGGTTAGCCCTGAAATTGAATACGTGCATTAGCTTAATACTTTTGGTCACTTTGATGCTGAATCGAGGCACAATCTTTACTCCGTCCCAGACGAAAAGTGTTCGTTTTAGGCGGAACGAGAATACCAGGTAGAACACATTCGTCAAAATGATTTCAAAATGACACCAATATTCTCTGTGGCTAGGCGGTTATATTAGCTCATTTTGACATTAAATAAAAGTCAGTTACTTGTTTTGGGCGATTGCATTTCACCTGGGTGGCTAATGTTTTGGCTGAGCGATTAGCGAAGCCTAGTACTCCAGTGATGATCAAAAAGTTTCGCGTCTGTCTGTCTGTGTGTGTGTGTGTCTGTCTGTGCGCACGATAACTCGAGAACGAATTGAGCTAGCGACCTGGGATTTTCAGGGTCGTTTTTTGTCATAAAAAGACAGATCGAGTTCAAAGAAGAGCATTCTAGCTCAAAAATTGGATTTTTCGAAAATCAAAAACTACTGGTCCCCCAAATAGTGTTTATTAAAAACATTTCTTTTACAGTCTCCTAAGGGGTAACTCATCAAAGTAGAGGCCTCTGGACGAAAATTTTCTCCGTTTTGCTCTAGCTCCAACCGTTGAGGTGCTAGAGGGTGTTTTTGACGAAAATAAGCGAAAAAATGTACAACCCTGCTTGCTTAGTCAAAGTGACGGGCCGTTGACGGGCCGGAGGCCCATATCTTTGTGTACACTTTTGCACAACCCAACTCGGGTGTCAGCGCCGCAGGCTTAGGTAGATGTATGCCAGGAGCGTCGCAGCGTAACAGTGTTTCGTGAGATATCGCGAAGCCTGTTACGCGAGACGTGGTCTGGCGTACATCTACCTAGTCTTATACACACATTGATTGTAAATATTACCTAATACGAATCAGGCAGACACAGGGTATGCCGAAACATCGAGGTTGACGGTGTTATTTGGTAGCATTGAATGTTTCGATTTACCGTCTTGCAACGATAAACACCCAGAGTATGGGGCTACACGGTCAAACGCAATCCAGAATTACGCAATACCAACTTGTTCGGCCACTAAAACGTCCTCGGATGACGACTCAATCCATGCAAGAGGCCGGAAAACATCGAAACAAGCAGGCCCGCCCTTCCGCCAAACGGAGTTGCCAGCTCCACTTCGCTGCGCCGGCAACTCCGTTCGGCAGGGGCCGGGCCTGCTTGGCCTGCCGGCGGCGATGGTCGGACCGAAGTTCATAATCAAATAAATAATGTGACCCGCAAATCACTTAGCATTAATTGAGTGAACTCACGCGTCCGGTGGGGGTGCTGCGGCCCTAGAAATTTGCTCCCTGGACATGACAAAAGACTGTAACGGGGCAACACCGTGACTACACCCCACCCTTCTGCTTTGCTTAAGAATTTAAAAAAAAAAAAAACACGCTCAGATTGTAAATTGTAAATTGTATATTGTTTGCCAAACAGTCTTAAAACTTGACTTTTTGCAACTGTTTTCAAAATATCTGCCTCTAGCTCCTAAACGGTTAAAGATGCGGTAAATCGGAGGGTACCATCGGACTCAGAATGTGCTGTTTT